AACCCGCCGTTAGATCTACCTCCAGTGGCTCGAGATCCGCCGGATTTCGTCTAATCTGATTACGTATGAAGCCGGAACTCTGGGACAGTCTACGGCGACTGCTGCTGCTAACGTGAATGCCTGGTCTGGAACGGCATCGTTGCTTCCTCTCCTTGGTGCTTTCGTCGCTGAATCCTTTGTAGGTTGTTGTCGTACAATCCTCGCCACTTCTGCTCTCTATATATTGGTATCAAACTCAATCTCACTCTACTTTCACGAATTCGATTCTTTGCTCTATTAGTATACAGTTTATGTTCAGAATCAAAAATTAGTTTATATATTCATGATTCATACACTAGCATAGCGTTTTTCATCTCTGGAAAGATTTTGAAAAATGGTGTGTATTATCAATTTTTGATCTCTGGTTTTAATCAATTTTCACTAATTCAAAAATATTATCACATCGTTTTAAACTGAAATCAAATTACGGATCCTTTGGTAAATCTTTATCACATTTACGGATCCTGATTATGTGCCTACCTTAAAACCATTAAATTTTGATGGAATATTTTTATATAGATTTTGTTACCATTTGTTTGGTACTAATAATTAATAGCAGTAAGTTACCATATATTTGGTATTCTAATCCCTGATTTTCAGCCCTACATTAAAACCCATATATTTCGTTTTTGATCTCTGGTTGTTGAAGGAAAGATTTAGAAAAATGTTGTGTATTATCAATTTTTGATCTCTGGTTTTAATCAATTTTCACTAATTCTAAAATATCTTTGGTATTGTAATCCCTGATTATCAGCCCTACATTAAAACCCATTAATTTTTTAATTCGAAAACAAAATAACACCGTAACTCCAAATTCAAATGGAGTTGTTACAATTTATTTATACTTTATCAGTTTTATATTTCCCTTTAAATCTCTCCTAATCCTCTCCCCCATAGTCATTCATATTCCCAAAAATAGAATTCTCTGTCAAACAATTCTCTTCCATGGCATCAAAAGATACCGACTCAGCCATTGCCKCCTTCTCATACACAACAACCATTGATGCAATAGATGCAAAACTTGAGTCCCAATGTATTGTTGTCCGTCTACTGCGCACGGGGAAGCCCGTAATTTTAAAGAGAACAATTGTTTGCTCAACGTCAACTGCTTCCTTGTCGATGAGAAGGTACAATATTTAAGACTCGTAATTTTTATTATCTTTGGTTATGATGCATGCTTCTTATATTAAAAACTCCATTTTCTGGTTCTTCTAATGCTGTTATTTACAAGTTTATGTGAAAACGTATTTGATCACTAGATCATCTAATTTAGATTTTATCAAACAAAACTTTATGGTTTATGGATACAACTTGGTAGGTACTTGATCCGTGAGTTAGTTGAATTAATAATACATTTAAAAAAAACAAAGTTTTAGATTTCAAATGTTACCTCACCCAAGTTTGTGTTACTAAATTTCACTTGGTTCTATTCTCGCCGTACGAAATTAGTAAAATAATAATACATACCTTCTTGTCGCTCCAGAACCAGAGGCTGGCAAAAAGAAATTGTAAACCTTTTTTTTTTTTGAAAGAAATTGTAAACCTTATACTATATTTARGTTGCTTTTGGTTTGTAGTCGTAATAATATGAAGTTTTCTGGAGCTTAGTTTTAAACGGCAGACCAAGATCAAACTGTGCTTTTATCAGTTCTATCAAAAAGAGAACCCAGCAACTTCGGCTACAATGCTCTTTGATTCATAATATGTAACGTACGTAGTTTAAAGCAGTGAGTTTTAGATCTCTCTCTCCAAAAAGAATACCAAATTGTTTTTGCCTAAACAAAAGCTGATCTGACCAAATGCCTAGATTGCAATACCTCCATCGATGGTGAATGCCTGCAAACCAACGTTTGTAACCAAAACATAATCAGAAACCAAGGTTAATCTCTAAATCTTCATTTGATAGGAGTGTGAGTTAACCTGTCCGGTGATGTAACTGGCTGCAGGATTGAGYGCCAAGAATTCTACCAAGCCAGCCACATCTTCCGGTTGTCCATACCGTCCTGCAAAATTAAACCGGTTTGCTTTTGTATCATATTATTTTGTTCTAACGATCTTTTGATGTCACAGATACATCCTAACCCACGGTAACTACCCACAGCAAATGTAAAAGTTGAACTCCACATTTACCTAATGGGATTGTTCCCAAGATTTTCTTTTCCATGTCTTCGCCAAGCTTGGCAGTCATGTCAGATGCAATAAATCCAGGGCAAACCACATTGACCTGGAAAAAAACCAAATTGTCCAACTAAATTTAAAATATTGACCAAGGAATGAAAAGAGAGGAATACGATGAGGAAGGTAGGTCGCATACATTTATGTTCCTGCTTGCACCCTCTTTAGCAGCAGTCTTGGAAAAAGCAATAACTCCACCTTTAGCAGCAGCGTAGTTTGCTTGGCCAATATTACCAATGAGACCAACAACTGACGATATATTGATGATTCTTCCCTGCAATATCGTATGCAAAAGTATACCATATATTATACTTGGACTTTATTTCACTTCATAATCTTGGAGGAGTTCAAATTAAAACCATTTGGCTTTTTTATATATTGATTCTCGTTATGATGCACGGAAGGAGTATCATGTGAAAAAACAATGAAAAATGTGTTTAGGATATAGGCGGTGACACAGCTTATGACAAGTGATAGCAAGTGAAGACTATTGCGAAAAAACGTTGAAGGCCAAAAGAAGTATTACCTTTCTCTTTTTCATCATGATCTTTGTAGCTGCCTACAAAGAGTAAAAGAGTTTCAGTCCCTGAGATTCTTCTGAGTATCAAAATTTCAGCAGGACTGCAGGAACACATACCTGGGTACAGAAAAATACTCCAGTGAGATTCAAATCAATCACGTCCTGCCACTGGGATTGCTTCATTCGTATCAACAAGGTATCTCGAGTAATTCCTGAAATTATGTAGACATGTCAGTAAGGTACRAYGTAAAAACCAATTGTAACCAAGATTCTCTCATATACCTGCATTGTTAACCACGACATCAATGGTTCCCCATTTATCAACAGCCTGCAGAAAAATAAAACAAAAGGAATATGATAAGATGTAGAAGGAAAATAATTACAGTTGATCACTCACGGTTTTCATCATTGCTTCCACATCAGCCTCTTTCGAGACATCACCCCSAAAAGTAATAGCCTGTCCACCARATGCTTCAATCTACAGTTCCATAWAGAACAAATGTCAGAGAAAACATGGAACAAGGGGGTATAGTAGAAGAAAACAGTATCGACAGCAGATGTTATTTGATAGGTAAAAGATGGGGTAAAAAAATTCATTCGGCAGAGTGGATCGAGAGCAAAATTACAAYCGCATTTGAGAAGCATACGGCAACAAGAAAAAGTATAACCAAACATTTTCCAGGGCAGAAAATTCAATTGTAATTCATTTCTTGAGCCAGAAACTCAAAAGGTGCCTCACTTCTTTATGTACCAATAACAACATCTCTCCATAGGATTTATTGGTCTAACGGAAACAGAAAACAAGGAAAGAGGTGCAAAACTTAAGCAGCACAGAATGAAAATT